GGGGGGTGGAGGGACAGCCAGGAGAGGATGACCCTTGATGAGATGGATTGATTCAGTGACTGGAGTAATCGGGATGGGTGTGTCAGAGACAGTAAGATTGGCACAGGACAGAGCAGAGTTTAGGGCTGTTGTATATGGTGTCACTGTGAATCACAGTCAACTTGATGGCACATAACAACAAAAACAACAACAGCAACAGCAGCAGCAACTCATGTAATGGAGCTCTGGCGACCCAGTAGCAAGAAGCTGTTCTGCAATCCCAAAGGCACGTAGTTCAAATCCACCAGCTGCTTCAAGAGAGAAGGATGGGCAGTCTCCTGCTTTGTGATTTACAGCCTCTGAAAATCCGCTGGAGGGTCTTCTATGAGTCGGTCTGACTCACGACACACAACAACAACAATAACAACGCACATGTGTGCTATTCACCCAGGCTTCATCCAGTTACTGTTTTCAACTTTTTAAATTGTGATTTGAGTAACAGTCTACCATTCATACTGGGGTTTGGTTCAATAATTCAGACATTTCGCTTTGTAACAGTAATTACAATCTTCTCAACATCTCATCATGCGTGTGTTCTGTGTCGCCTTTCCCTTCACGTGTCTATTATCTATTTCTTAATGTTTTTACTCCCCCTCCCTCGCTTCTCAGCTCTGATAACCGTGTAATAATTATTCTATGTGTAAACTGTTCTTTGTGGTTGATTACCGTTGAGTCGAGCACGACTCATAGTGACCCTATGAACGAAAGACCTGAAGCCTTTCCATAACTATCGTTTCTCAAAGTTCTTGGAGCTTCCAGAAGCATGTTGTTTAGGAAGTGGAGCTTTTAAGCATAGTGGCCTTGTAATAAATATTTGTCCTTTTGTGACTGACCTGCTGCACTGGATAACGTCCTCTGGACACCTCCATGTTGTGCAGTGTTTCGCAAGTTTTTCTTGTTTGTTAATCTTGTCTGGTAGTCTACTGTGTGAACGCACCGTAGTTTCTTTATCCACTGGTCTGTGGATGGACACAGGGTTGTTTCCATCTCTTTACTGTTGTAAATAATGCTGCAATGGTATGAATATGTACATATCCTCTTGCGGTGCGGCTCTTACAGCTTTAGGATATATATCTAATATGAGATTGCTGATTAAGTGGTATTTCCATTTTCAACTTTCAGAAGAAATGCCAACCTGCTTTCCATAGCGCGCGCACCATTTCACACTCCCACCTAGAGTGGAGGAGAGTTCCAATCTTTCTACAGCTCACCAGCTTTTGTTGTTTATTGTCTTAGTGGACTTTCCTGTTGTTGCAGGGGTGAGAAAACAACATCTCTCTAACAGCAGGCATTGTGGTCACTGTTGTGAGGTATCCAGGTGTACAAGTGAACATTTACCTGTGTGCGTGTGGAATAACTCTGTGCAGGAATCTTCTTTGACTTTGCACAACTGTTTTTTTTACCTTTGTGTCTTTATATACACATTTTGTTTGACATAGTACCTTGGTCCTCATTAATATTATGTTGAAATTTGTTGAATGATGTGTGATCTGCTGGCAATAAAGATGCCGATGAACATAGAGGTGGGGGAAGAAATGAAACAATGCATTTCCCCGAGTAAATCTGCTGCAAAAGACTTTGTTAAAAGTGTTAGGAGGGAAGATGCCACTTTGAGAATTTATGTGGAGCTGACCAAAGCCGTGGCATTTTTATTTCCTTCATACACATGCAAAAAAAGGACAGTGACTAAGGAAGACTGAAGAATAACTGATGTCTTTGAGTTAGGTTGTTGGCAAAAACTACTGAATTGACCATAGACTTCAGAATAACGGATAAATCTGTCTCTGGTGATGTAGAGCCCAGATGCTTCTCAGAAGGGAGGATGATACGAATTCATCTTGAGCACTTTGACATGGTGTCAGGAAGGACCAGGCCCTGGACGTCATGCTGGGAAAAGCAGAGGATGGATGAAGAAGATGACCCCCGTGAAACGGGCTCTCAGTGGGCAGCTGCCACATTGAGCTCAAACATAGCAACTGTTTCAGAGCTGGAAGCCTGGGCAGCTTTTCCTTCTGTTGTGATAGGGCTGCGATTAGAACCAACTTTTCAACTCCTAACAACAGTAACTAGTACTGAGACAACTGCTGACTTTGACCTTGCACCAGGTGTGTTTTATTTACTGTTGCTTTTACCCCCATTCTTCCTTTGATGTCACCATCACTAGTGTCTGAATAGGTTCGTGCCAAATAATTGCCATGAGTCCTAAGCCTTGTGTCTCCACAGGAATCTGAAAGACTCAGTTCAAGGCCAGGGAGTTCAGTAACCAGCCTGGGTCCAGAGGGCAGGCAGTGGGCACACCCATCCGCCCATCCACTCTGCCCAGGCAACATCTCAGCAAAGGCTGGCATGTCTCCACCTGTAATATCAGCAGTTGTAATTTAGCCAATGTCCTGTTAGAGTTCTTCGCTGGGATGGACCGCAATGAACAGTGTGCCAGGAATTTAATCACTATCTATGGCTCATTGAGAAAGATTTCAAAACAACTCAGTCATTACCAAGTGACAGAGTGTGTACCCATCTGAGTCACCCCGATTCCAGCCCTTCTCTGACCGACAGGAGCAGAGTTCTCTGGTCAGGCATGGGTAGGACACTCAGCTGTCCACACTCTTGAACCATCTTCTGAGTCCCTGGTGGTGCAAATAGTTAGGCACTTAGCTGTTGAGTGAGGTGGGAGGTTGGAGTCTGGCCCGAGCCCCTGCTGGAGGTGGGTCTGGTGATCTACCTGAAGAACCATCATGGGGGGTGGACCCTCTAGGGAGCACAGCTCTCCCTCATACATGTCACCATGAATTACGGGACGTTGATGACATCTTCTGTCTGGGGTTCCTTCTCTTTCCTGCTGGTCTTCAAAGGTGCCGGGGCTGTACTTAACCCTAAAACACAACAAACCCACTACCGTGGCATCAAGTCTGCTTCCTAAGACACCCCCAGGCCTCCCCGGCTGTGCTTTTGTTGTTGTGAGGTGCCTTCAGCGTAGTTCTGAGTCACAGTGACCCGATGGACAACAGACAGAAGCCTTGCCCAGTCCTGGTCACCGCCCAATCTCTGCAGCTGTTTCCATCCACTGTTGTAGTCACTGCCGATCCACCTCGTTGGGGACCTTCTCCTTCCCTGAGCTCCACCTTTCCATGCATCAGGTCCCTGTGCTGGGACCAGTCCTTCCTGATGGCACATCGAAAGTGTGTAAGGGACGCTCTGTCAGTACTGTCTCCAAGACAAGTCTGCTTGTTCTCTTGGCGGTCCATGGCGTACTCGGGACACTTCGCCAATACCACAAGTCAAAGACACCAACTCTTCTGTGGTCTTTCATGTGCATGTAAAACAAGCAAAATACCATGGTTTGGATCAGATGCACCTTAGTCTTTAATGTAACAAACATCCTTAAACTTTGGCACCTTAGAGAGGTCTTTGCTAGCAGATTTCCCTAGTGCAGTGTGTCTTTTGGGGTCATGACTGCAGTGTCTGTGGATGTACAACTCCCCCTCCCCCAGCTTCCTTCCTGCTTTCTGTGCATCTTTTTTCCTTCCACACTTTGCTTTTTGCCTTTTCTTTCAGCCTCTCCTTCCCTCCTTCTTCTCAGCTGTGTGTTCCCTGCACTGCACTGTCCTCTGGACAAATCTACAAGTCTAGGAGTCTTTGCTGCCAGTCTCTAAGAGCGTGTCTTAGATCATGGACTAGGCTGGTCACATTTTTTTCCATGTTCAATGGGAGGAGAATTTTCTTTCCTTATAAAACATTAACAATTTAAACAAAGAAACAAGAAGAACTAAAAAAATTAAGCCCTCTAAATCACACTTCGGGCATGTTACTAGGAGAGGCTATTCCATGGAGAGCGACATCATGCTTGGAAAGGCAGAGGGACAGTGAAGACAGCAAGACCTTCAACCAGGATAATTGGCACAGTGACTGCAGCAACGGGTTCACGTGTGTCAGAGATTGTGAGGATGGCACCGGATAGGACAGGGTCTGTGTTCACAGGGTCAGCATGGGTTGTACTCAACTCCATGGCACACAACACAACATCTCAAGAGATCACAGATTCTTGCATGAGTGTCAGATCTTTCCAGATTCATGTCCAGCTCTGGGTCATGGGCTCCGGAAGGCAGCTACGCTCCCCAGTGTACCTACTACCTATGCTTCCTGGGGTGTACATTCTGAGAGGTAAAGTTGGAGGGAGGGCAGTGGGGTGCAGTGGGGGACTCCTGGCTTTGGGCCCTGGCCGATGAGCCTTGGGTACAGTCAGCACCTGTCAGTGCAGGCTTACATGTTGCCAGGATGCTGATCAGACGTCAGAGAAGTTTCCAGACTAAGAGGAAAGGCTGGGATCCACTTAGGAAAATCAGCCAATGGAAACCCCACAGATCACTGGCTCTGAGCTGCAGCCAATCACAGCAGCATTTTGTACTTGTGTCCAGAAAACCATGAACAGAGAATGTGGACCTCTGCGTCAGTCCAGCCCCATCCTGCAATGGCATAAATGTGCTGTCCAGTCAGTCCAGACCCAGAGGGGCCCACACACGGCAGCAGGAACCACTGGCCGGTCCTGACCGTCCACACGGCTGGAGCCCCTTGCTGCGGCCACTGTGTCCACGCATCTTGCTGAGGCTCCTCCCCCCTTTCGCTGACCCTCTGCGTTGCGAGCCTGGTGTCCTCCAGGGTCTGCTCCTCCCGATAACACGCCCCAACCATGTGCGGGCCCGTCTTACCACCCTCGCCTCTATGCAGTGGTCTACCTGCGTTTCTTCCACGGCAGGTGTGTCTGTCCTTCCCACAGTCCCCGGTGTGCTCAGCTTCCTCCGTCCCCACTCCCGCGCGGAGGCCTTGGAGACGCCTCTGAACCCTAGTTCCCAAGAGAGGAGAAGGTGGTGAGACGCCGGGCGCAGGCGCTGAGCAGCCCCTCGTCGGGAACCGGCATTTGTGTTTTCCACACAAGGGTGTGTACTTACCAAACGCTGCTTCAGTTTTAGGCATATTGAGCGACTCTTCCCCCAAAATCCTGCATTTGGTGGTCGTCCTGGTCCTGGTCCTGAGCTTGTTCTGCGCGTTGATGAGTTCCGGCTTCACCTTGTACAACAGCGTCAGTAATCCCTACCAGACGTTCCTGGGGCCCACGGGCGTGTACACCTGGAACGGGCTCTGCGGTGAGTGTCCCGGGATGGACCTCTTCCCTTGCGCATGCATCCACCCCACGGCAGTTCTGAGGGTCTGCGGGGTGCTGGCCTGCGCTTAGCGTCCGCCAGCTACAATTAGGAAGCCTCTTTTGGAAATAGAACTCTGATACAAGGCCTTGCTGGGAGGCTAGGAGCAGGGCGAGGACAGACATTTGAATATCTGACATAAGACAGCTTGTGCATCTGAGTTTGCAAGGCAAGGTGCTAACCCTCACATCAACCCAGGAAATATCCCTGAGTCTGCGGAGTGTGTTACTCCAGGATAGGCACACAGACGCACACAGAAATACACAACCCGCGCGTATGTGCGTGTCCACACAGAGGTCTACCATGCTTATACATGCACACACATAGACATGAACAGCACACACATGTAGATGCACACGACACACATGTATGCCAAAGTGCACAGCACACACACACATGAACACACAGCACGGGTGAAAACACAATGTGCACACAGATACGTACACATGCACGTTTACACATACACACCGTGCCGCTGGGTGTACAATGTACACACACACAGCCACGTGTTCACACACACACACACGTGAACACACAGCATGGGTGAACACACACAATGTGCATAGATACATACACACCTGCATTTACACATATACACTGTGCCGCTGGGTGTACATTGTACACACACACACAACCACGTGTTCACACATACACATTTGGGGGAGCTCTGGTGGCCCAGTGGTAAGAAGCTGTGCTACAATAAGAGAAGCATGTGGTTCAAATCCACTAGTTGCTCTGTGGGAGAAGCACGGGCAGCTTACAGCTTTGGAAACTCATCAGAGGGTTGTGGTGAGTCAGGCTCGACTTGCCGGTGGTGGGGGTGTGTTCCTGCTGAACTGATGGGCCCTGTTTGGGTTTGAGTAGAGCGGATGACATGCAGGGGTGTGTTCTTGTTGTTGTTTGCAGTGAGTCAGAACCCACTCAGAGCTGACCCCCCAGCAGGCTTTCAGACGCAGGACACCACACAGATTTCCCGTCCTTCTCTTGTGGAACAGCTGATGGATTTGAACAGTGCACCTTTGGGTTTGCAGTACGGCTTCTTACCGCTAGGCCACCAGAGCTCCCTTCAGAGATATTAACCACCCAGAATCTGAGCCCGGTGCCGTCGAGTTGACTCTGACTCACGGTGAATGTGTGAACAGCGTAGACAGCAACAGGAGGACCCAGGCCAGGCCAGCTTCCAAGGGGTGCGGAGCCTGAGGGAAGTACTATACGCCCCTTCAGGAGCTGGAAGCCCCTAGGTGGTGAACGCATTCGACTGCTAGTGAAAAAAAATGGTGGCTTCAGTGCCCCCAGAGGTGCATCCGAAGAAAGGCCTGGCAATCTGCTTCTGCAAAGTTCAGGCCTTGAAAACCGTATGGACACAGTTCTCTCACACATGAGTCAGAATTCTCCCACAATGATCACTAGAATTTACATGATTCCCACAAGACACAGGGGCCCTGGTTAACTAAGCGTTGGGCTGCTGACTGAAACGTCAGCTGTGCACACCCACCAGCTGCTCCAAGGGAGAAAGCCAAGGCAGTCTGCTCTTTTAATGTTTACGGCTCCAGCTCTGCTCCAGCCCCAGGGCTACTGAGTCCGAAAGGACTGGATGGTGGGTGGACTTGGAGATGATTTTAGCACTGACTCCCCGAGTGGGGCAAAGAGCTCTCAGCTGCTGATCAGGGAGGTGGAGACAGAACTCAAGAGAGGTGCCTCAGAGGAAAAGCCTGGTCATCAGCCACCAAGAACCCATGGAGCACGCTCTGCTCTGGCCCCACGGGCCACCTGGAGTCGGGGTTGGCTGTTTGGTGATTGGCCACCAAGAACCCACAGAGCACAGCTCTGCTCTGGCCCCATGGGCCGCCTGGACTGGGGGTTGGCTGGCTTTAGAGCTGAGCTTGGAGAAATTCTCCTCTGGTGGCAGACAAGTGCGTGGGGTCCCTGGAGGAGGAGGAGGAGGAATGAGGAGGCCACATCCTGGCTTTGTTTCTGACAGAAGATGCGCAGATCCTGCTTGGGGAAACTGGGGATACAGCAGCCCCTGTGCCCTCTGACTCCAGCGATGCTGGGACTGCTAGAACTGAGTGAAGGCTGCAGACTGCCCCCTCAACTCACTTGCCTCTCTGCTGGGAGCCCACATCCCTGACAGAGGACTTAGGGGACCAGCTGATGGTCACCCCGCATTGCACCCAGACAGGGACAGACAGCCCTGAGACCAGTCCACAAGAAGGGACACACTCAGGCTGGCCTCCGTGAGGGCTCCCCCACCCACAAATCCACATCAAAGCTCTGGGCTTCTGTGTTATAAAACTCTCAACTGCCTTCAGCCTGCCTCACGGTGACTAAGTTTTTATAGGATGCTTTACCAGGCCTGATGAGGGATAATGAAGGCATTTAGAGAGCATCAGAAGATGGGGCTTTTTGTACATTCAGGTTATTAGGAAATAAAAACTGAGGCCAAGCATCAAAGTTGGTCATCAGGGAGGGTCAGAGCAGCCTCTTGGCCCAAATCGCCTCTAATGAGGCTTGGAGGCTGTTGGGAAACTGTGGGGGTGTAACCTTCAGGTGGGGTATGCTGGATGCCCAGAGTCAGCAGCGGTCAGGTGGGGAACCACAGGGTCCCTGGAGGGTTCAGACCTGCCTCACCCCAGTCCTGTGGCCCTGCTGTCTTGTTCTCCTTCTGAGACGAGGAGTCTTGGGAAGCCAACACCTGCCACACCCCCAGGACATGGCCGAGCCCTGAAGGCTGATGGTCTGACTCTACAGCCATGTTCTTTTAACCAGCCCAGGAGCTCCCCAAGTTTCTGCTAAGAGATGCTCTGTGCTGGGGAGATGTGCGAAGAAAGGAAAGTGGGGTGCAGGCAGAAAATTAGTGGGGCCTCCCTCCACCTGGAAGAAGGATGTGAACCCCACCACACGTGGACTAAGCTCTCCTGTGAGGGTGGGCCTGGCTCTCTGGCCTGGCCACATCAGGGCCCAAAGTGTCGGACTCACAGAACACGCCTCGCGGGTAGACTTTGGTCCACAGTCACAGGCAGCCCGGCTGCACGCCTTTTGCCTTTGCTCCGAATGCGTCCTCAGCAGCCTGGCCTCAGGAGCTCACTCACTCATTCATTCATTCATTTACTCACTCATTTATTCACTCATTCATTCATTGACTCATTTACTCGCTCATTACTCATTCATTCACTCATTCTCTCATTCATTCATTCACTCACTCACTCATTCTCTCATTCATTTATTCATTAACTCATTTACTCACTCGCTCATTATTCACTCATTCATTCACTCACTCGTTCATGTACTCTTTTATTCACACACTCATTCTCTCAGTCATTCACTCACTCATTTTCTCACTTATTCACTCATTCACTCACTCCCTCACTCATTGCACCCTCCACGTCCACCATCTTGGCGGGGGACTACGTGAGGCTGACTTTTCTTGATTTAGGATTTACACTCAGACTCTTTTTGAAAGGATTTGAGCAGGAATGTTGACTCCCGCCTTCCACAATCTTACTCTTCATCTCTTCTTACTAAGCTGTGTCTGACAGTTCACCTCATGGTTGACATGGAGTAAACACCTATAGAGACTACCGTCATAAAGACACTAAAACCCCAAACAAAGCCCACCGCTGTCGAGTCCTTGCCGAGATCCACAGCGACCCTCCAGCAGGTTTTGAAGCTGTAAATCTTTCAGGGAGGAGTTTGCCCATCTTTCTTCCGTGGAGCAGCTGGTGGATTGAAACCGCATGCCTTGGGGATGGCAGCGCAGCTTCTTACCGCCAGGCCACCAGAGCTCTCATCAGGGGACTAGCCGCCTTCAAGGACCATGTTGCCTTGACATTTACAGAACTTTGTCTTCTTCCAGCATCCTTCACGCTCCTCGCCATGTTCCTGTTTGTGGGGAACACGCAGTCCAACAGCCTCTCGGAGGAGTTGACCCAACTTCTGTACCCCACAGTCACCCGCAGCGGGGCGACCCATCAGTACGGATACTCCTTCTGGCTCCTGCTCCTTGTTGTCCTTCTAAACATCGTCACCATCGTCATCGTCTACTTCTACCAGAGGGCCAGGTACCGGCGGAAGCAGGAGCAGAGGAAGCCCATGGAACAGGCCCCGAGGGACGGGATTCTGTTCTAAGAGACATTCTATGTCGGCCTCTGAGCAGAACTGCACGGAAGGTCGGACAACAGGCAGAGCACAGCGAAGGCCTCTGTGAGCGAGCTCACTTTGTGGTCACTTACGTGTCCATGAATTAATTAGGTCCCTCAGAAGTGACCAGCCCAGTGAAAAGTGTCTGAGGAGATGAACAGGGACAGGTCATCTTGTCCTTCGCCTACAGATCAGTGGGATGGTTATGAGCCTGTGCCCTGTGGACCTGGTGGTGTTATTTAAAATAAACACTTGTGTTACGTACCTTTCCTTGGAGGAGCCCCGGGCACCTCATCACCCAGGATCTCTCTGGCCGGAGAAGGGACCGGTAGCCTTAATTCCCACGGTTTTGTAGACATGCTGAACGCTTGTTAGCCAAACTAGATTCTAGGTGAAGACTCAGGAAAGGCTTCTAAAGGGAAGAAAGTAGCAAATAAAAAGATAAATGGGGGAAAGAAAAAATAGAACCTTCCAGTCTACACGCTAACAGAGCTAAAGGTATATTTTCAGTTGAAAATGGTTTGAGGAATACCATCAAATTGAAGTTATATATTGCTGTTAAGTTCTAATGACTCAAATCCCCCTCCAGCAGTCCTCAGCTGGTAACCTGGTGTAGACACAGGGATGGATGGGGGCGGGGTGCTACAATGGGGCTTATCCTTGACCAGCAGACTCCTGCTGCCTGGAGACTGAGGAGGACGATGAGAACTCAGTCGTTTGCAGGACCACCGAGGTGGGGGCAGGGTGACTGTGGGCATGGGTGTTGGGTGCCTTTGACAAGCAGGTGGGTGATGATGATGATGGTAAGTGACTTGGTGCTGTGGTGTATCACCCAGTCAGAACTGACTCAGAGCTGACCCTCCAGCGGGTTTTCAGAGGCAGTTTAATCACATGGGAGGAGATTGTCCATCTTTCTCCCCTGGAGCAACTGGTGGATTTGAACTTCGTGCCTTTGAGATGCTGCCTAAGGGAACCACCAGACCTCCCTTAAGAGTTGGTTGTGGGGTGTTTTGTTGTTGTTTTTCTGTTAAGAGTGAAAAAACATTTTAAAACCCTAGAAGAGTTAAAACAAATTAAAAATGGTGCCAGAGAGGATCCCATCTACTTTACCCGAAGGCTAGTTTCTGAGGAAATCCCTTTGAGAAGTTTTTCGGAATCACAGCCTCGCCACGTTGACAGCCAGCCTTAATTCCCACGCTCCTCTCACGTTTTAACGTGGATGGTAATGAAACTGCTCAGGACGTCTATTCGGAGGACCAACCCTCCTTTCTTGCTCCAGGATTTATGGCTGGTGGAAAGTTGCCAATCCTATGAACTAGTGTTCGTAATTAGCGTGACCTCATCCACACAGTGATGCTTGAAAGCCTTCCAGCCAGAGTTAGTACAGGCCCAGGGCTGGGCTGGGGCGTGACCTGTTGTCTGCAGGAGATAGGTACCAGGTTTCCACACTCCCTCTGCAGATTGCAAGGAAGGAGGCAGGGACTGTGGAGAATGTTCTCCTAGAGGATCTGGCGAACGTGCTTGGCCCAAGTGGTGGTGTACAATCACCTCACAGGCATTTCAAAACTGCTGTGCTGCAAATAAAGAGACTGAGGAAGTGATGCCTTTGGGCTATGGTGTTGGCAAAGATTCGGCTGTACTACGAACTGAAAGAGGAATGAAGAGGTCTGTCATGGCAGATGAACAGCCAGGAAGCTCCTCAGAAAGGCGGCTGGCAGTACCTCATCTCACACACTTAGGACATGTCATCAGGAAGGATGAGTCCCTCAATAAGGACATCAGGCTGGACAAAGTAGAGGGTCAGAAGGAAAGTGGAAGACTTCAAAGGAGATGAGTTGATACAGTAACTGCAGCAATAGATGGAAATGTAGCAAAGCAAGCTCTAGTGGCCTAGTGGCAAGAAGCTGCACTGCAATCCCAAAGGTGAGCAGTTCAAATCCACCAGATGCTCTGCTGGAGAAGGAGGGGCAATCTCCTCCTGTACCAGTTAGATCTAATTTGAAGGTACACACACAAATAATAATAATTTTTTTAAAAAAGAAAATGTAGCAATAGGTGTGAGTTTGGAGCCAGGTGGGACAATGTTTCATTTTTCTGTAGGAGGGTTACTGTCAATTTGAACTGACTTAACAGCGCTTAACAACAGCAAGGTTCCTGCGAGCTAGGTGGACGAGGAAGCCTGTCTCATACAGCTGGGAAGCATCGGGAGAAGCTGCCTTTCCTCTTCACACACTCAAAAACAACAGGCATCTTCAAATTCCTCCTAGGGGCTAGTACAGAAACCCCACTGGGAGAGAGGAAGCAGTGGAGGTCCACTGTGAGAAGGCCCCTTGGGGTCCCTGGGGGGCAGCCGCTGCTCCCACCCCCTAAGGCAGGCCAGCTGGAAAGAAGGAGGGAGTTAACCGTTCACTTCTGGTGCTAATGTTGAGTAAGTGGGCTAAAGGGTCTGTAGGCTTTTAAAATCAGTAACTGAAGGCAATAAAGAGAAGGCTACGTTTGTACACTTTCTTTATCAGCCTTTGACTTTCAGGAAGTGGTGGAGTTGGTGTTCACCACTGGAATCAGGGGTCACATGATCCTGCGTGAGACTGTGACCTTGTTCCCACTCGGCACACGCTGTCTTCTCTGGTCCCACTGCTGAGAACTGAAACTGTTGAAGCTCTGTCATATTCTCTTCTGGCATTTCCCCCATTAGATAAAGCATTATCAGAAAGGGGAAGGGGGGGGGGTAAAGAAAGGGGAAGGAATTATAGGGCTCAGTGGCAGAATCCTTGACTCCAGGGTTAGAGACCTGGGGTCCATTCTCAGATAAGGCAGCTTACGATAGCCACCACTTGCCCGTCAGTGGAGGGAGGACTGTGTCCTGCTAGGACATTGGACAGAAGTCAGAGGAGCGTCCAGACTAAGACACACCAGGAAGAAAGGCCTGAAGATCTACTTCAGCCAGTGAGAACCCGCAGAAACCCAATGGTGTGGTGACCAGCCGATGACAGCGATGGCAAAGCACGGGGCAGGGCTCTGGTCTGTGTGCACAGGGTCCACGTGGGTCACACACTGACCAGACAGCAGCTCACAACATCAACAAAGGTGGGGACATCCCCATCTCAGGTGTCCGGTGCTGCTGTGACCAAGACACCCCGTGAATCAATGAGAATGTGTTCTCTTAGCAATTAGGAAGGTAGACGTTTGAGTTCAGGGCGCCCTTGCCGGTTCTGGAAGGGTCCTGGTTCCCTCTGCATCTGAGCGCCCAGCATTCCTTGGAGATCGCCCTGTGTCTTGGCCTTCCTCTGTGGACGAGCTTCCGTGCAGGGGACTTGGGCCAAAGGACGCCCTGCCGTCCTGGCGATGCTTTCCTTGGTGACACTGAGCTCCCCCTTCTCTGTGAGCTTTTATTTCGTTAGATTACAGGTGTTCTGGGCAACACCAAGCAAACCCCCTTTATGTCAGTCGGAGCTGTGGTGAGGGCGCTGGGTCCCATCCTTCATTCTCTCGTAACGGTTTGGTTTATCAGACCATGGGGATCACTTCATAATTCCCACATTACCCTGGTACATACTTGTCCTTTTGGAGGACACACCTACTCCACAACACCCCCTTTTTACTCCTCCCCAGTCTCACCCCCATTTCCTGTCTTTCTGAGGAAGCCGTCATCAAGGATGCTGGGTTTTTTTCTAGTCTAAGTCTTTCTTGCATTTCTCATTTAATGGCATAAAAACTCCGTGCCTCAGTTTCACCAGCATCTCCTTTTGACAGATGAACAAACAGGCCCACAAGGTCAAAGGTGAGCTAGTCAGGGTCAGGAAGCCAGAGAAACCCCAGGTGGACGCATGGGTGAGCTGGCTTCGGATTGCTCTGGTGGGCTTGCGCGGAAGGCTGTCCATCTTATCTGTGTATGGTCAGTCTGTCACCATCTCTCCACTCCTCCCACAAGCCCCTGTGGTTAAACCTCATGGATAAGCTCTCCCATCTGATCCGTTTCCATGCAAAGAACACCCCGAATAGCATTAGCAGTGAATATATTACACACAGAAATCGCTAAACATCTCCAGTATTTTCCAGGAAACATTTTAACAGTTCTAAGGGAATTTTAGAAATCCTTTTCAGAAGGGGGAGGGGCGGATCACTGTTCTGAGCAGCACGAGGGTAGAAGCTGGATTTCTTGAGCACAATCCGACTGACTCTGACCTCACAGGCCTTCCGATGTCACAGATCCTCCAACAAGTGTTGGCAAATGTATCGGGCTTGTCGACAAAGGGTGACAGGCTGGAGAGCTAGAGGCTGGTCGTGGGGACGCTGGTGGCACTGTGGCCTTGTGGCCTTGGGCTGCTAACTGAAAGTTGGTGGTTCAAACCCACTGGCCACTTGAAAGGATGAAGCTAAGGGGGGTTTGTTCTATGAAGGTGGCCCCCCTGCAAAGCCCTGGGCAGTTGTACTGTCCTCCACGGTCACTCTGAGCGGGAACAACTGTAAGGCAATGGGCTTGGCTTATGAGCTCTGCAGCTCAGTCAAGGAACCATGATGTGCATACAGTGTTTTACCACTGACTGAAAGGTCAACAGTTCAAGTCCACCAGCTGCTCCTCAGGAAGAAGTAAGGTGTCCTTTCTCATTAAGATTTGCTGCCTTGGGGGCCAGTAGAAGGTTGCAGCGAGTTAGAAACAATTCGATGGCAGTGTGGGCTGTGGGTTCCTTGCTGGCCCCTCTGACACTTCATCACGAGAGAAAAGTGAACCTTCCTCAAGCCATCAACTATCTGCCACAAAATGAGCTCACGTGGTGTGTCCGGGAGCTGTGGCCTCTCCCAGCCCGGATGTCTCTTGCATGTTCACCCCGTGGAGCCACTTCTCACCCTCCAGGACGGGCTACCTCGGCCCGTGGAGGACGAGCCCCCAGAAGGCACCAGAAGGGCGTCACAAAGGTGAGTCGGAGGGGGACTTCCTTCAGCGCAATGTTGTTTGTTAACTGAAGTTCACATGTGTCTTCTTGGAA